CATAATGTATTCATCGAATCTTTCAGTTAAACGTTCTCTTTATGAATAAACTATAATTTAAAGAGCATATATAACATTTAATATTAACCATACATATGTTCAGTATTTGGAAATTTGGAATAAATCCAATTATGACTTATAAGTAGATATATAACAATTTTTAAATAATTATTGTTCAAGAACTTAATAAACTATTTTAATAATCTTAATAAAATATTTTTTTAATCTTATATTTTTAACAATAAAAACTCAGTATTAGTTTCATTAAAGTTTTGAAACAAAATATTTTTTTTTTTTTTTTGAGAGAGAGTTTCAATGAAAATAAATCAATCAAGTGGGTAACCGCTCTGCTATACGTTAGGTGTAAATGTAACTTTTCATAGAGTAAGTCACTATATAAGTTTATAAATTGTATTAAATATGAATTCAATGATAAATTATTGTTAACGAAGAGTGAAGATGGTTTAACTTCTTAGAAACCAAGATTACTACCAAATAATCGTATAATAATAATACTATTATAAATGTTTCTATTTTTTTTTATTTTTACTCAATTATTTTAAAAAGTACTTAAAGATATTTTTGAACCACAAAAAAAAAAGAAGCTAAATCCAATTTACTAACAGAAACTACTCTTGCAGTTGATGCTCTGAGCATTTTTTCTAATAAAAAAAATATGTCTTTAGAGTTTAGACACAAATATAATAAACGCATCAATGTTAAATCAACACTTTCTTTGGTCAGACCGCTATATCAACTATGTTCAGAATCTAAAATCGAAATTCGGAAAAAATTAAATTAGTTATAAACTATATAATATAGAAAAGTATTGACGGATGAGTAAATGGTGGAGTGGGCTATCGCGGAATACTAATGCACCACACAAAATGTTGATCTACTACTGTACTCATTAAAATTTTAAATTATACGTTTAACAAATTAACTCGTTTGAAATTTCATTTTTATGATTAGAAATTCTCAAGAAAAAATTTTTTTTTAGAATATGATAATTACAATGCATGTTGTCGTTTAAAAAAATTAAAAATTATAACTTTTATAAAGATAAAAATATAATTTCAATTAAAATTATGTACTTTATATAAAAATTCAAATTATATGTAAAAGCGAATATTTTTAAATATTTTCTTATATTTAAGAATTCTTAAGTTTACTTAAGAATCACCGTATATTAATAATAATGATAAAATACATAACACAATGTATGTTACGTCTTATAAGAACTACTCATAATAATAATAAATAAACCGATATCTACCCTAAATAACAATTTAAACTATATAAAATACCAATGTTTCGTAATATAAAATAATTAAAATGTCTTAGTTTTTGTAAGAAACATATGTTTTATACTTTTATTGTTTATAGAAAGTAAAACACTGACCGTAAAAAATAGGGAGAATAGTAAATTTCCTCATATGTCATAAAAATCGGACTATAAGTTCTAGTAGTTCTAGATTCTAAGAGTGTTTTTATTAGAAACTAAAAGAACATATTATTCATATTATTTTGTTATATTTTTCAACTAAGATTATAATATCATATTCTAAATCTCAATAATTGAATCACAGACTACAATTTATTGTTTAAAGAAAAAACGTAGATATACAATTTATTATTGTTTACATTTCAAGTCTATTAAAAATATAAATTAACTGTGATAACAAATAGCTAATGAAATTTAAAATAAATTACAAAAAAAAATATAGTATGATAATATTTATTCAATAATAAACTATAAAATAAATGTAAGTATCAATAAAAAAATACAATTTTATTTTTGAAAAATCGAATATTTTAATGATTTTGAATTTATTTTTGAAAGTATAAATGTCATCTTTTTGTTGCTTTAATTTTTTCCATATTTATTCAAAGACATACATGATAATAATATTCGTGGTATAAATCATATATTTTGTACAACAAATTTGCATAATATGTTTTCTTGTAAATATCAAGATTGCCCGTATATATCTCTTCGCTTATACACGCGTAATAACATATCAAATCTACGTACCGGATTATTTTTACTACAGATCATGAAGAATAAAGATCTTTGTTTTATTTTTATTCTTCATGCTACAGACAACATTTATAGAAGTTTTTTTAATTATATTAAAATAAGTTATATGAATTTGAAATTTTAAAATTTTGAAAATTAATCAAATACTTATAGCTTATTTAAAAAAAATATATAAACATAAAAAAATCTGTTTGATATTTTTCTAAATATTAGCTATGAAAATAAATTACAGTATCAATTCAATGAATCATGTGGGTATGACGACTGCCCATCGTCTTGACTACTGAATATTAGGTACATTTCTCTTCATTTTCATATTATGTATTAACCTTTACAAGTTTATTTACTTTTTATAATTGTATTTTTAATACATTTAAAATAATAATACAATTATTTTCAATGATTCAACATACATTTTTGTAAAATATTTTATACACCTATCAAATAAATTCAGAAATAAAAGAAAATTAAATTAAAACTTTAGTTATATAATGACCTTGAAAGAATTATTTTTAACAACAGAAATAGCAATTTGGATAATTTTAAATGTCATGGATAATAATACATTTATAATATATATTATGCAATTATAACCTCAAATTGATTAATCATTAAAAATTAAAATACATTAATAAAAAATTTAGTCATAAGGCCAAAAAAAAATGTATCTGATTATCAAAAAAAAAAGTTAGACAATATTTAATAGTATGACTAACATGGTTACAGACGTTACGGTGACAAAAATATTTATTTTGCAACTTTTGTTTTTTAATGAACTCACGTCTGCTGATGCCATTACACTATGATAACAATTAGTAATTAAACTGCTCATTATAATATACCTAATGCAACCTTTTTCATACACAAAATAACTATCTTATTATTAAATTATCTAAAACTTAACTACATTGTATGCATTGTATATATACATATATAGGTATATAAATATAAATATATAATATTACAGTCAACAAAGCTATAATGTTTAAAATGCATTTTAACAAAATTTTTATTTACACTTACTCAATAAATTAATACTACACAAATAATCAAATATCAATATTTCAAAATCAGAGATAAAAATTATTATTTTAAATTTTAAGTAAATACGTTTTATAAATCTATTTGTTCCCATAATAATTACTCATCTAAAACTAGGAATTCAATATCTATAATACTAAAATAAACTACTTAAGATAAAAAAATTAATTAATTTCTTATTTTAATAAATTTTACTATTTATAGATGGTACTAATAAAATATAACGTATGTATATAAATATAAAATCTATTATTGTATAACATTATTTACAACAATTGACAATTGTTTAAAAGAATAATATTAATTTAAGTACCTAATCTTTATTTATCACGAGTACTGCAGTAAATGAAAGATAATACATTTTATTATACTATATAATTTTTTGTATTCTAATACCTTATTTATAAAACTATAGCCTATATATTGATTGTTTGATTTAAGATGCACATACATATGCAATATAAATATATAATTATTGACGTATAAAATTATGTGTGTAATGTTTGTATTACGTCTACTGTAAACCATGACAATGAGTCATCATACACAGGGTGCATACTAAATGTAAAATGACCCATAGACCACCCTTATATTAAACTGAAACTCTACATGACTACATATTAAGGCAGCATTCTATTTAGTCTGCTGTAAAAAAAAAAAATAAAGCATAAATAATAAGAAATGTATAAAATGATATGGATGTAGGTCTACATGTAATAAATGAAATTTTTTTTAAGTAATGTATTAAGGTATACTATGATTTTTTAATATTGATAATAAATAATAATAATAAACAATAACATATTAATCAATGTTAAGATAATGACAAATTTTGAAATTATTTTAAGCATTCTATATTCTGGTAACATTGCGATAAGTTATAAGTTTTTAGCTATTATAATTATATTTTCGGTAAACCGATAATAATTACGGCTATCAGATATTTAAAAATATTACGGTATATCGTGATTTGGTAATTACTGTAATAACACGTCTGTCCTCAATTTAAAGTTTACCGGTCCATATTATATTCGGAAAATTAATTTTTGGTGTAGTGCTTTAACCACATGCGGGCATAAATGGTCCTTAGAACTAGCTACTTAGTAAGCTATATACTAGACCACGATTGTAGAAAGATTAAGAACTACTAATATAAAACAACCTTTAGAACTAAAAAATGTTTGATCCAATGTTTTTTGTAAAAACTTCTTTCCCCCGCGGTATTAAAAAATATTAATTTTTCTAAATAGGAAAGATCGAAAATACCGTATAACTAGTAATACCATATTTCAAATATGTATTCAGGTGAAAAGCAATGTTAGTAGAACGATATCTATTATTGATTCCTCAATACTCGAATAACATAATAGGTATTAAGTAAAAACAATTTAACGTAGGTAGGTATAGTGCATTGATAAACATGGCATAACAATGTTCACTTTTTCGAACATCTGCTAAGGTGTATATCTTTAATACTTAATAGTTGGTAATATTATAATATATGTATTATTATTGTGTTAGCTCTGAAACTCTGAACTTTAGTCATTGAAATATTATTTTGGTAAGAATCGAAATCGTCAGCTGTGGCTCAAATGCAACAATTCCTATAGAACATAATATGACAATAATTGATAAGTTATCAACGGTTTATCTACACCTGAAATGTATATATAGACAGCTTTGTGGCGTGTCACGATTATCGACCGTCGCGAGTATAATGTATAAACAGACTATATTTTGCAGTTTGCACGCGCTTCGAAAAATCATCGCACATTTATAACTTACATAAACCATATTATAGCTACAACTCGACAATTACACTACATGTGTTATTTACCGAAATATATTACATTAAAAGAAGCCGTTGTTGACGTGCAACAATAATAATATTATAACATCAATAATCGATCTCACTTACCGGAGTGTCATACTCGTCTTGCTGATAAATGTCCTCGTTGGAGGATCGTTGGTGCGAAAACGACTGTTTCCTACCCGATTTCCTGTCCGACGACTTTGGCGAACTCATAGCCAGTCGCACATAACAACCAATCGCTGTCGTTGTCGTATATTAATATGTAAATGCTCTGTGTACGCGAACAACCAATTCTCGTCGACGCCGGAACGTGTTGATATCAACGCTGTGTAACGAACAGTTGTCGTTGATATATTTGTAAGTAAAATATCGAATGATTTAAAAAAGCTGATAAAAAAAAACGCAACCGTATCCAATAGAATAAAATATGTAAATAGTTCAAGTAAATAAAAATATTATGAGGCAACCCCACAAGTAAAAAAAAAAATAAACGGTAAGTATAGGATTAAAACGTTATAAAAATGATTATTATTGCAGTCTTCTAATGAGAATAATAAACGGTTGCGAACTCGATGAGGTCGCACTCGCCGACACAAACGTCAATACAGCACGACGACGACTGACTGCCCACGGTCGCACGAGCGACGGTTGCGGCGCGTGCGTATGATCAGCTGTTCGAGACGGCCGCGGCGTTGGTCTCCCTGACTCCCACCGCTTATGGCAGTGGTGACGACATCGGTAGCTTCTCGGCGGTGCGACGTCGCCCATCGATTTAATTGATATTTATAATAATAATAACTTGGTATGAAAATAAAAACCGCATCCGACACGAGCGCCACAACTTTACAACTCGTTTCACGAAACCGGAAACGATTGGTATTGGTATAATATGATACGATACATGCATATCACTCGTCGAGCTCATATTATATTATATTTATGTACACGGTCGATTTAAGTGCGTAACAACTAACAATGACTATAAATATGGCGAATTGATATAATATGTACAAACCGCAATAAATGCTGAACGATTGGGTAATGGGTGTTGAGATGTACCTACTACTTGTACGTCATGTAGATCTTTTTTGATCGTCAATTATAATAAACCATGCTCAAAAGACAAAAACTAAGGTTTGTAAAGTGTAAATATTTAAAACTTACAATATAGATTAAAATACTTAAAATCGCAAAAAGTTAATATGAACAATAGTTCTTTACAATTTTGGTATAAACATAATCCACAACTATATGCATAAGTATTTAGCAATAAACGCCGATTATTCGTCTTTATAACCGATTACGTGTAGGTAGAAGGTCTACATCATAAATAAGAAACAAAAAATAATATTCTTTTAACTCTTTATCGAGCATCCTATCGTGTGAAATACGTTATACGTCACTGCAATGCAATGACTGCTATAGTACTATGACCACAAACATAATGCAGTTTAAATATCTTAGACCCATAAACTATTATAGTATTTATATAATAATATAAATATATTATTATGGATAGTACCAATGTGAACTCAAATTTGCATGAAAAAAACGTCCTGATGTACAATAACAAATGCCCATGATACATCTATTATTTTTACTTGGCTAATAAGCTACACACTACATTGCTATATTTTATTGTAATAATTCTTATAGGTATTATGCTATTACTAGAATGCATAACCGTAGTAGCACAATACATCTCTAGAAGGATTATGGCTGGAAGTATTGATCACTGAGGCTACCAGTTAGCTAAATCAATAATATTTCCATATTTGATTACAAATTTCATTGTTATAATATTTTGATTTATTATGAAAAAACTGTCATAAGTCATAACATAGTTAACATACGGTTCAATACGTTAATAGTAATAAAGTAAAATTATTAATGACACGGTGCAAAAAAAATATAAAAATACGAGTAAGTATTAAGTATAAAGTAACCTTTATTATAAATTTATATTTTACCTTCTATCTGGAATCAGCATTAATGTGTTTACAAATTATATAAATAGTGTACAGTCGATCATGCATTCATAAATAAAGTTGAGGGTGTCTGTTTTATATTGTCAACGATCTTCGACTTTTTTACGTAATGGAAGGTGACAACGGTAAAAACGTTCTATCGTAAACTCAAAAAAAATGTCTCACTTCATTCGTCATAATATTTGTATCTATTATCTAACCTTATTAGGTAGGTATTCAAATTGAGTACATACAATTATATAATTTGTGCATAACAGAAGTCATTTGAATCCTAATAAAAAAAAATTATGAAAATTGAAGGTTCGTTATACACACAAATTTACTATACCAATGTGAATCAATTGATGCTTAATTACACTTAAATATTCACATATTATTATTTGTAAGTTAATAAATATAATATGATAGATATTTTTTTAAATAAGTTATTTAATCGAACCACCAAGATTGTAGATTCTCAACTTTGGTTGGTCATTGCTTATTAGTTAGATTTCTATTACTTAAATACCTATATCAATAAACATTTAACACATTAATTTTTTACATAAGAAATACAAATTAAATTTGTTTTAATAAGTTTAAGTAATAGGTAGGTACTAACTAATATTCAATAGTTAATAATAGTATAAAAATTTGTATGTATATATATGATATCTTAGTAAAAATTAAACATTATATAAGATTTAAATACTATTTTTTTTTTAATTAGAAAAAATTTATATAATCATTTGATATCATAAAATATGTTAGAATCGAACAAGTATTTCGTTTACAAAGATATGCGTAAAAATTAAATTAGGACCTTTTCATTAAAATTCACTCTGAAACTCAATTTGACTAAAGTTACGCCACTGCAGTATACATGTACAATAACTATAATAAGTATTTATGATGTAAAACTTTATTTAAAATTATTGATATTTTTAGTCGGAATACTAAAATCAAAAGCCTTGATATATTTTACATCATTAATATTGCAATTATCAACGAAAAAATAATTTTTCAAAATTTAAATTTAAATAAAATAAGAATAATTTACTTTTGTAAACTTTGATAAAATTATATTTTTATAAAAATAAAATACAACTGTATAATAAGAAAACTTCAACTTCCAAGCTTCTAAGAGAAATTCTTGTAGAAGTATATAAAGATATTTTTAATAATTTCAATCATATAAGGAATTTCTTAGTAAAAGTAGGTACCTAATAAAAAATTAATAATAATTTATCTCATGCTTAATTCAATTTAAATTTAAACATGACTAGCTGTCAAATGATAAAATTAACTATGCATTACAAAATATGAGAACAATATTTGATAACAGTAAATAATCGAAAATACTTGAATACTGTATTTTTTTATACTAATAACAAGTATAGTTTTTATTGTACAATAAAAATAATTTAAAATTATTGATTATACTACAAATTTTATTTATTAAAAATAAATGTTTAATGCGGTTTTGTCCAATTTGAATTAAATCAAATAAAAATAATTATACAATAGTTAGAAAATAATTTTTTTTCCGATTTTTCCTATGTTGAACATTTTATTTTTAAGCTTAAATATATCTCACACTCGCATAATTTATGAAAAACATTTTCAAATACAAAATAAATTATTGTGAGTACTACCTACACTAATATTTATTTGAAAGATTAAAAATATACATTTTGCTAAGGATCGAATAAAAAAATATATAATTTATTTACCTAGTTGTTCAAACTTTGTTAGTATATGCACGCACAATATTATTTAAAAAGTATTTTTTTAATTAATAAATACCTACCTATATATCTGATTTTTGTAGCATTAATTAACTAGGAAATTATAATTTATGATAGTTTTTTGTTTTTATACATTCTAAGATTGTTTTGTTAATTTAGTTAAATAATATGTCCTCGTATTATGTCCTCAAAAGTAATAACATAATATATAATTTTAAAACCTTATTTTACATCATTATCTTGATAATTTTATGCCAAATGATAGATAAATGCATTCTAATTTCTAAATAAATTATATATATCACTATATATCTACTTGTACACTTGTACCAACTAGTTACTAGTAACTACATACTTATAAAAAAAATTGAGGAACTAGTTTTTTTCTAAATAGGCTATATTGTATAACAGGTATTATGTATTAAGTATAGCTTGTCATTAAGCACTACTATAATAGTACCTACTAAATATCTTATTTATAGTAGGTTCTTTAAGTCACAGTAAAAAAAAAATATATTCTAAGTGAAGGAGACGAGTGGATCAACATCTAATTATTCATAGGATGCTTTTTTGCTGCTTTTATAAGTTTTTCTTAATTATTTAAAAATTATTCAGTTTTATTAAATTTATAATTAAATAATATAGTAAGCCATTTCCAGAAAATATTTTGCGTCAATCAAATATAGGTAACCTACTTGTAGGCACTTGTAGCTCATTAGATATTAATGTATGTATATGTATATTATGTAATTGAGAAGACTGTCCCACATTTTTTACAAATCTGTTATTGCTACAGCATTAAAAAAAAAATTCACGATAATCCACCTGCTATAAATATTATTTAATGTTTTGACAAGAATATGTACTCGTAAGTGTCAAGTAGGCTTATATTTTTATAACAATTATAATTTATAACAATTACAACCATGAGCTGTAAATAATTGTTTTAAAACTCCATACAGTATTACTACTTCCTACGAACTACACCACTACAATAAGGTACGATTAAATCATAAAATGAAATAATATACATATTTTACATTAGTCATTTTATATACGATAAACAATATAGGTAAATACCACAGGCAAAAATTACATATTTTACGCGTATTACACTATTTAATATATTAAAACCATGCATTTAAACAATCATAATATTTATTATTTATATTAAATAGGTATCAGGTATGTAAATAAATACTCTCGTACAATACAAAAAATTACTGTTAAATTCGTTTCTAATTTTTATAACTACTGTAGAACAATATAGATTAAAAAAATACCATGGAAATAATTCTGATATAGGTATGGTAGGTTTAAATAGTTTATATCGTCATTGACTAGATCATTTTTATGGATGTTTTAAATTTGAATTAAATAATACACCGTCAAAAACAATTCTAAAGGGGGACACAATTCGTCGATTTCTATTTCTAATTTTAAAGATATTTTATAATATACATATATTTACATTAGTATACATAATAAAGTAACTTATTTTTATTTCATTTTTCAATTTTTGTCAAAATTATTTAATATAGTTTTACATAAAAAATTATAGGTTCATGATCATGAAATAAAAAAAAAAATGCTGATCAACGTAAAACCAATAAAAACAAAATATTCTATGAATTTAAATGCTTATTAATAGCTTAAAGAGAACAAAAGTATTTTGAAAATTATATTATTTATTATCAAGATAATGTTAACATAAATATTTAAAAAAAAATTCAAATACCTGGAATTATGCATTTTTTAACTTCAATAAAAATATTAAATTTATTTAGTTGAAAACTGGTTGTTATACTAAATATTCAAGTTCTTCTGAATTTTTTTTTTATTTTTCATTTTTGCTGCCTCTTTCCTTGTTAAATTCAATCATCACTTTCTAATTTGAACCCTCAAAGTATCAATAAAATGTAATTTGTTACCAGAAATCACTTTCGAAGTTGAAGATTAAATCTTCGAACGCAACATCGGCTTAACTTACAACAATTAAAAATAATATGTACTCAAGTCTTAAATCTTAAGTACCTACTATTTAATGTTTAAACTTTTCTATAATCTATATTGGACAAATCTTATAGTTTTATAGTAATACTATTTTATTTAGAATTAAAAATATTTTAATGCAACATTGACATACGTTTACATTTTTTATTTTACATTAGATTAGATGTATCTAATTGCCATTAACATTCGATAGGTTAATGGTTACTAGATTAGATCACGGTCTAATTCCTTTCAAAGATTATAAAATATCAAACATTTAATTATATACAACAAATTATTATATAAATGTTTTAAGTTTGAATGTTTATGAAGTTATCATGAAATATTTAAACAAAAATAACGTTTTTTCCACAAATGATAACAGTTTTAGATATTTTGTTGTTATTCAAAAATTATTAATCATGAAAGACTCGAAAAATTTAAGCAGTTATTAAGTATTTATAAAAGTCATAGTATAATTTTTAACACAAATCACGATACATATTTTTTGATAAAAAGACTAGACAATTTATATTTATTAATGTTATAGGTAATGAATCATGAACACATTTGCATTTTATACTCTACGTCGATATTCAATTATCTAATTTAAATTTGCCTATCGAATTAAGAAAATAAACTAACGTTAAAGAATAAAAATATACCTACTATTCAACCTATTTCGTTATTTGCACAGAATTTTTATTTCGTAAACAATAATAACTTATTAGTGAATTCAAATTTAACACATACATATAATTACTGTGACCTAGTCAATGACACTAGACGAAGTATCTACCTACGCTCGAAATCTAAATACTACATACATACGCATACAGTGGTAACAGAGCGAGTTCTTCAGTCATAATTATTTAACAGTATGTATTTAAAAATGCATTTTAAGCCCAAACAATGCACGTCATACAACTTTTAATTTAGAAACGACAATACTGCCAACTTTGATTTATAGTTAAATTATATTTTTAAGCTAATAGGTACTTAATAAAAATAAAAAAAATATATGCAAAGGTATAATTATATGCATACTAGGTAATAAAACACAATATAATATTTAAATCGTTTATAAATAGATAGGTATTGAAATTTTATTGCGCAGTAAAATCTATAATCTACAAATCGTCTATTTTATATGAAATTCTATTTAGAAATTATAAAAATATAAAATATGTTATGATAAAATGTTATTAGAAAAAAAACACGTAAGTGATAAAGTTATAATGATACAATGATACATCATCAATAAGCACGAACATACAATCACAAAAGAAAAAAAGATTCATGTTTATATGAATTTATGTTTAAAAGCTAAACGATAAAAAAAAATAAAAAAAACAAGTAATACCACAAAAAAAACTAATTTGATTGTACATAACAATAATTTTTTGTGAAAAAATATTTTCTTTGAACTGTAGTAAATTGATTAAACAAAATAATAAGCATATCATATATCTTTATATTAATAAGGTAAGAAAAAATATTATTTTTTCTTGATATATGTGATCAAAGTAACTATGCACTTTAAAATACCTATGTATCTACTTTTATAAGAAGACTAAAATCGATTGTAGTTTTAATTTATAATTTTATTAATTTATATTACCTACTTTACTTTAAAATAATATAATATTATTATGAACATTTATAGAATTTATAGTTGATAATAGATTAAAATAAATAATAGGTAATACGTACATATATAAATCACAGTTTATACTTTATAAATCTATGGTAAGTTAATATAACGAAATATGTAAAATAGGTAGTTATTCAAATTATTAACGTATAAATGAATATACAATTTTCATGATTGACCAGTTTTTATTTTCATAAAAAGTGTCTTACTTGTTTAAATATAGCAAAAAAACTATAATATTTTGTGAATACTTAAGTAGCCAATAGATACAAATGATAATAAATAACTCAAACATTAATTATACTTTCTAAAATAATATTTTTATTTTTATTTAAATATTATAAAAGTAAATATTTTTCATTACACATCCATATCAAAACTTTATTTTGGTATAGTTACTAAATGGTTTAGTTTAAACCGACTAAATCTATTAATTTTCATTGTCATTTTTCAATTAAGACTCATAATTATAATATGATTATTACAATTGTAGAATACAATAAAATAAACATTTTAGAAATATTTAATCGTTTTACTTTATAAGTATCTACATAATACATTGGAGTAAGCTTTAAATTTTTATGCTATGCGAGTATGTGACTCGTATCCACAAATTGCAAGACGTGTTTATCATTATGGATTCCGAATACATTAGCACAGTACATACGCACTAAATAACACTAAATAGGTACTAATAATAGTACCTAATAATGATTAGTAGCATTACTGCGCAATGTGTATAAAGTACCTATAAAGTATACACGACCCAAATAAATTAGTGTTTCTAAACAACAATATTAATATAATATGAGTATCTAAAGAAAATAATATAATTTAAATCCATGGTAAAAAATTTTAAATAATGATCAAAGCAAAATATTTAATTATCTTAACTTTAAACCTAAGTAGGTACTGATATAATCAAGCATTGTTTGGCACTCACAAATTGTTATCCTTAAAATCGAAATCATAGTCATAAGTAATAAAACTAATTTAAAAGAATATTTGAAAAAACTAGTATGTAAATTGATTTCAATCAAAGTATTATTTACTATATAATATTATACTTTGTTTTATCTTATTAAGTATTGAATTATTTTTATGATAAATAATTAAATTTTAATAATTGTCAATTAAATGTAAGTACGCGGTTTTTAATTTTCTATCTACCATCCAAATTTTCCGTTTTAACAATAGAAAAAATATGTGCGATATTGAACGGTCTAAAATGTATGGCAAATGGACATGATGTTAAGTAAGCGGTTTTTATTATTAATATTTGTAGGTATATTTGTTTTAACTTATTTTTAATTTTCTGGTCCCTGACTTTGTTTGTTAAAATTTTAAATTTCAATTTCAAAGAACAAAAAAATAATCAATCAATAATGATGTTATTATATCTTTATTTCAATAAAATTATAATAGTAAATAAATTAATATCGTATTTAGATAGGAAATAGGGACTATACATACAATTATATAGTGTACCTACCTACATATATTTTACTATTTTAGTCACTATTTGTATAAATATTGTCTATATAGCCATATGGCATGTACTTAAAAATTGAAATTGTATTGTATCATATAAATACTTTATTCTGAATATTTTGTTATTAGTTTTGCTAATTTATTCTACAATTTATGTCTTACTAATATAATAATACAATAAATGAGTTTAATTAATAACTACATTATTACTTCTATATTTTGTTATAAATAGTAAATATAATTACCTATTCTAACAGTCAGCTATAGCTATACCATAAATTATAAGTATTTAATGTAAGAGCAAGTACTTTTTAGTTCCTCAGTATGATCTGATTGAAGTAGCCCAAAACAACATTACATTAGACTTGTTGTAGTCTGAAGATAGAGTAGTTAACTTTGAATCCGGTAGATGGCGTGAAATCTTTCTATCTTTAAAAAAAATGAATAATATTGTTTAAAACTCAATGATTTTCTTAATAAAAGTAATAGCAACTTATATTGGTATATAAAATATATGTTTTTAATACAAAAAAGTAATCTATTTCTACATTACAGTATTACTTAAAACAAATAAAATCTGATTTTGTAATCCATATTTCGAATATTCTCATAATGTTGTATAACTTGTAATCATTACTTTAGTTCTTCAAACTCCTGTGTCAAACAACTCCGGTTCCCTTTCAAAACGAAAAAATCTTTCGCCTTTTACTAAAGATTTCCGTGGAGGGGAGCACTCAAAGGAGTCTAGAAAAACAATTTTTTAAATTGCCTGATTTCGGTCGGGCTCATATTGCTCAATATTTCAAATAACTTAAAACCATGTTATGTATTCATGCTGACATTTAAGTAAACTACACACCCCATATATTTTTTTCAAATAGTAACTTGATTGCGTCTAGTGAACCATTATGTTATGCGTCACATTTTTAAAAGTTTTTTAGTCTAGACTTGTATTTGCTGTATGTTTTAATTAAAAGTTACTCGCAGTTAATGAGTAGTAAAAAATTAATCCGGTACACAATTTGACAATATTGTGTGGTTTACTTCTATATTTTTGATGGAAATTAAAAATCGAAGTTTTTAGTTAGCCGTTAAATTGTTACTATATTTGTATTAAATGATGAGTAAAGAACTGACGAGTATAGCTGCCGGTTGGAAAGTGTTGACCAGTGATCACGAAGTTGTCACACACCTCTTCGACACAATATTTTAACACGTATTAACATGTATAGTTATGATCAGTGTCAGCTGGTATTAAAATTTATATTTTATAGTCTATGTATTGGTGAAACTGTTTTATTCGCGGCTTATCATATTCTGACGCGGTATCGCGTGATTTTCCGGTTCTCACCTATAAGCCATATTGAAGCTTGAATATTTTAATTTTCTTCAACAGCCATTCCTCAATACGTATACATGTGTCTGTGAGCTTATAATTATTTAAGTCGGGTTCACAGCTTCGTGTCGCGTGCCTTTTATCATATTCTGATTGGCCGTTACAATCATGGTATCATTTACTAACCATGATCTACCGGGACATTTCCTGAGTTGGGACGTGCTCGACTTTTGGACACCACACGACAGGCGACGGCGAAGTAGCTGTGAATCCGGCTTTACTGTTATACATTTTTTTAATAAAAATATAAAAATTCTCTTCAACTGTTTACCATGGTGAGTTATTGCTTGAGTATGTTTTCAATACATTTATTTTAAATATTTGTCCTTATGTTATTTTGAAATTGTTATACAGAAACCTTTAATGTTACAAGGGCACGAGCGTGCCATTACTCAAATTAAATACAACAGAGAAGGTGATTTATTGTTCTCGTCTGCTAAGGATGTAACCCCAAACGTATGGTATTCATTGAACGGGGAACGTCTTGGTACGTACATTGGTCATACTGGAGCTGTGTGGTGTATTGACGTTGATTGGAAAACAACAAAGTTTTTGTCCGGAGCTGCTGATAACACCTTAAGACTTTGGGATGTTGCAACTGGTAATGATAATGAAATTTTTATTTTATAACTTTAAAGTTAATAATTTTAAAATTATATGTAGGTGTGGAAATTGGTAATATTAGTAGTAATTCAGCTGTTCGTACATGCTCATTCAGCTATTCAGCTGATCTCGCCAGCTATTCAACAGATCAGGCTATGAAACAAGAATGTGAAATTTTTATAGTTGATGCTCGAGATGATGAATCTTTTAGTAAGTTATATGGTTTGTTATATTTATTTAGTTATTGTTTTTATCGATTAAACTTTAAATATTTGAAAATAATAAATTATAAAAATTAAATTAAAAGTTTTTATTTTGAATATCAAGCAAGAAAATTAAGGATTTACTGTAACTAATTTGATAATTTATTATTATAATTAAAAAAAATTAAGTATAAGTTACATATAGGATTAATGTATTTTGTAAGACATAAGTTAAGTATAGATACTATTATATAGCAATGTATTATTTTAGATTTAGATGGCTTATAGTTTAACACGAATAAAATAATTTTAAACACTAGAGAAGTGAAATGTCTTTTAAAAGTCTAATTTTGAATATTTTTTGAGTATGTAATGAACGTATACATTTTAAACAAGTATAAGACTCATATTATAATAAATAATTTATAGTACCTATTTAAGAAAAAATTATTATTTATATTTTCAGTTAATTTTTCTTTTAATTTATTCAAGTTGTTATCTCCCTATTTGTAGATAATTTATATATCATATTTCTTTTAAGTTGAAAATAATTAATATTAAATTTTATTATATTTTCTAAATACTATCTTCATCTTCTTTAAACATATTTATTAAATAAATATAATATATATTTAATATTTTAAACATTTATGTTATAGAAAGCAGTGCACCAATATTAAAAATGACTGTACCAAATTCCAAAGTCACTTCTTTAATTTGGGGTACATTGGACCATACAATCATTACTGGACATGAAAATGGTGCTATTACTCAATGGGATTTGAGAGTGTGTATAATTCATAGAAAACAAATTAAATTATATATCAGATAATATACAGTTGTGTCGTAATAACTAGAATCTTTAGGGAAATATCAATATACTGAATATTCAATATATTTATTTATCAATTTTTTTTTTTTAACTACAGTGGAATCCCTATTTAACAAAAAAGTTTTTTGAAAAAAGTTTGTTAAATAGAAATAATATATATGTACAATTTCTGCAAATATGTGTATAATATAAATAAATAAATTAAAAAAAAATTAATACATTTAAATTATATCAAGTACATTTGTAAATAATTTTTTTATTCTTTGTTACTAAAAAACTAACTGATGTCCTATTGGACAACTTTTGTACCTTTTTAACTATAAAAATGTTTGCTCTTATTTAATGACTTTAAGATATCATCTAGTAAATTTTTTATGTGCTAAAATCCACAACTTATTTTATTATTGATAGATCATCTGTTGCATATCAAAAATTGAATAACAATAATCTAAGGTAATACAATTTAACAAAGTATGATTGCATACTCTCATTTATTTAATTGACAACTATGTAATTTAAAAAATAAATAACTATAGTTTTTAAATTTGTTGTAAAAAATAACACCGCAATAATTAAAACAAAAGCGTTTTTGAATGAAAATTTCTTAGTTCCATAAATTATTTCTTTACATAGAGATTTGTTAAATGAGGCTCCACTGTAATATTATAACATTTATAACTTATTGAACTTTAAATGACAAAATAAAATTAGAGGTGTTCAAATTATTGAGATTTTCCTATGTATATCTTATACATTATGTTTATGTTTATTTTAGACTGGAAAAAGTATAGAAACTGTTAAAGACCATCAAGGATCAATCAACGACATGCAAAAGAACCGACAAGGTACTATGTTTGTTACTGCATCAAAGGACAAAACCTCAAAGTTATTTGATATAGACAATTTGTCAGTTCACAAAGTTTATGTCACTGAACGTCCTGTCAATAGTGCTTCACTTTCACCAATATATGATCATGTTAGTTAATAGTTCATATTTTACATTAAAATTTTTCAATATTGTTTTTTTTTTCTCTTAAGGTGGTATTGGGTGGTGGTCAAGATGCTATGGATGTAACAACAACAGCAGCACAAGCAGGCAAATTTGATGCTAGATTCTTTCATGTTATTTTTGAAGAAGAATTCGCAAGAGTAAAAGGTCATTTCGGTCCAATAAATTCACTAGCTTTCCATCCAGATGGTGAAAGTTTTAGTACCGGTGGAGAGGATGGTTTCATTAGAGTACAATCATTTGATCCGTCTTATAAAGAATTTAAATTTGATTATTGATAATTTATTTAAGTGTCAGTTTCAATAATAAAAAATAATTAAATTAAATATCTAACAAAATGTATTATTTTAAATTTATCTTATCACAACTTGTCTATGTTGTTGGGTCTTAACATTTGATAAATCCTAGGCTTATATTTTATTTATCAATTATGTATTTTATCATACTTAAAATTTCCAATTTTTAAGTAAGCTTATTAAAAAAAAAAACTTTTTAAACGTTAACAGAATTGGTTGTCTTCATCTAACAAATTTGTAACATACTAAATTTACATTCAGTAATTCATGTTCAATAAAATTTACTGATATTTTTTATTCTGTAATGAATTGGCACAAATTAAGCCAGTTATTTATTTAATTTTCTATTTATCAAATAGCCTCTGAATTATGTACTGATACCTTCAATTCATGTTTTTCATTTTCCTTTATAACATAATATACTAATTGCATAAATCTGTACAGAGTATACATTACATTTATACTAAATTTTAAAATAAAATAAAATAAATAAAAAATCAAAAACCAATTTAAAAAAGTTGCTTTTTTGTTTTACTAAAGAATATTTTAAAAATAATATATATTTTTATTTTAGAGTTTTAGGCATACTTACTATTTTATTTCAAGACTTGTAGCAGTTAACTATATATTTTTTAAAAAAAATATCTGAATATTGAGTAATTAATAATTATTACCTATTCAAATAAATTTGTTAAATCTTAGTTATTTATAGATTTTGTACTTCTGGGTATGTCTGTATAAGATACCTACATCTCTACATCGACTACATCTGAGATATATTTTTAGTTTTATGTGTAAAATAAATTAAGAATGAACAGAATGTTTCCCATTATTAAATTACATTTTACAGATAAAAGTATTTATGTATTGTATAGATAATTCAAAAGGGTATGTTGTACATTTATTATATTGTTGTCATTATTATCAATTTTTTTAAAGAAAGCTGAGTAATGAATAAGTAGAAAATTATACCCATGTATAATTTATGCACATGTTGTATTTTATAATTCCATACTAATTGTATAGACAAATAAAATCCAAAAAAAGTACATATGCTTTATAATTTACAGCAGTATTCATCTAGGTATTTTTCCAACAATAATATATTATTAAGAAAGACCACAACAACATCTACAATTTTTCATATAAATAGATATCTACATTTTTTAATATGTACCTATAGTATAAACCTCTTTGTATTTGATGCATATGATAACTGATTATGGTTACATTATTATAAATTTAAATTAAGGTATTATGAAAATGTTATCAAGAATAGCATAATTACCTATCTATCTGTGTTTTGCCAAAAACTTTTTATTTCCAATAAAATTAAAAATAACTAAAAAATATGACAAAACAGATGATATTTTTCTTTATAGTTATTGTTATTATTTATTATATATTTATTTATACTAGATAAGTGAAATTAATGAAAGAATAATTAAGATATTATACCTTAATTTTAATAATGTTGGTAAATGTAATAATTTATGAAAAAGAATTTCCCGCCCTCTACTATGTTGAATATTGAGTAAAAACTAAAGAAATACATATAGGTAAAATCCGCCAATTTATTTTGGGGCTCTGCTCTAACGGTTACTATTTTTGAAAACAGTATCATAACCTCGCTCTCTATCTCAGTCTGTGATAATGACGTGTTCAATATAGTGTAGTTTTCAGACCACTGTTTTGTTTTAATTTTTAAGCCGTGACAGTTGTCTAGTGCCAATACGAGCTGGACGGGTTATAGTAAGTTGTCTTGGAAATAAGAAAGTTTTATAAAATAATTATAACCAAATATTAAATATTAAACCTGCAAATCGAATAGGTAGGTAGGTAGGTAGGTCGGCACTTCGTGTACTTGAATGTGTGTACAAGGTTTAAAACCGCTAAGCGCCACCCCTATTCTTGCGCATACGACTTCAATTATGTAAATTAAACAATATATTGTTAGATAGTTGAAAATTGCGAGTGAACATTGTTTACCTAAATATCAAACGCAGTTATTTTATAGTAGCCGTGTATAGGTAGTAGTAGTCTACGGTTTATAGACAATAATGCAATACGATACAAACATTTGGTCGCATTGAAAAGTGAAAAAAAATAACCAGCAAACGATTCATAGCACATTAGTTATAATAATAATGATATAGTAATAATAATATATATTAATAGTAATAATAATAATAATAATAATAATAGTAATAATAATAATAATAATAATAATCATGTATAGGTAGGTAGTAGGTATGTACAAGTTTTATATTTTCAAAAATGAAATTAATACTCTCGTTCGGGCGATACGCTGATACGCAGCGTTTCCTACCGCGCCGCGAAAAACGCAAACCGTACGACAAACACACACACACACACACACACACACACACACATACCTCACACACATACACACACACACACACGCACACACGCACGATCCGTCGGACATGTTTTTCGCGCGCTGAAGTAAAATATGGACATATTATGTTATATTACATTACTCGTTACTCGGTAACCACGATAGGTAAGTATTCGGTACGCGTGTGCAATACCACATCGCACACCCGCGACTTGACGTAGTGCGGCGCACGACAGCTCAGTGCACTCGCATCTACGTCACACGTCACCTGCAGAGCACGACGCCGCAATCGACTTGACGACGCGTCACAGTGATATGATATAATATATTATTGTTATAGAGACGATCGTCGTTGGTTCGCGTGCGCGCGCGACGTCTGCGGCGGCGTCTTCTTAGCAGCGTCTGCCGCCACTGCCGCCGCTGACGTTGCTGTCGTCCTCGTCGTTGATGATGATCAACTTGGGCTTGGACTCGACGGCGTGCTGTTGGCGGTGATGGTCGTCGTGCTGCTGCTGTTGTTGCTGCTGCTGCTGCTGTTGGAGGTGGTGGTTGTGGTGGTGGTGGAGATGGTTTTGGTGGTCGTCGCCGGCCGCGTACTGCTGCAGATCGTTGTTGTTGTTGTGCACGCCACTGGACGACACGATCTCTTCCTGAGACATCTCGGCGCCGCGGTGCTTCTTCTGTATCAGGTTCTCGATGTGGAACGCCAGGTTGTGCGACGACACCGTGTCCGCGACGGCGGCCACGGCGTGCTGCTTGTCCGCCAGCGACTCGGCCGCGGCGGCCACGGCGTTCCTGCCGGTCAACTGGAACTCCGGGTACACCGCGAAGTGGTGGTGGTGATGGTGGTGAGGACTGGCCAGCGGCTGCTGTTGCTGTTGCTGCAGCAGCGACTTGATGTCCTGTTGGTTCTGCGCGGGCGCCATATGAAAAACACGGAGACAGATCATCATTAAATTATACCACACTGAACGGTTGCGCACACGAGTTACAATGACGCGTATATTAAAATTATTGATGGGTAGAGATGTATTTATGGTAATGAACCATAAATACACATGACAGATTTGTCAAAGGTATTGTACACGAATGGGTGCATCCAAATGGCATGTCAAAAAAATAAACACGAATTGAAACGTCCTTATTTCATGCGCCATCCCTTATCGGAGGGTCCGTTTGAATTGTTTGCCCTGAATAATTTTATTTATTATGATCTAATCTTTTTTTTTTTTGTTAGACTTCTAATTTTTCGAAAAACGAAAAAAAGTCGAATCAAAATTATTTCAAAATAATAATTTCTATTTATTCGTAAAAAAATCCCAAGTCATAAATTCGCCTACCTTTCAACTATTATTTTCAATGAGTACCTATTTACTGAATTAAAATTAAATTAAAGTGATATTTTCACAAATTGAAAACAAATAAATCGCCCGAATACATTATACGAGTAAAATATATATTATGTATAGAAACGCATTGCATATCGCGACACCCACTGAGGTTTAAAAAATAAAGTATTATTGTATAATATATATATATATATATTTACGATGTGTTAACTATTTTTGTTATAAATACAGTTATACGCCATACCATTTAAATTTGTTTAGTAAAATAATATTGCAGTCGCGAGTCGTCGGTATATACATATATTTATGCAATCATTAAAAACATAAATTAAGAAATTAACGCTAATGATCGGTCAATAATGACATTTCTGATAAAATTAAAGTGTATGCGATATTTACTGGGATCTAGGAAATGACATTATGCCTATTCATTTCTGCAAACTATACATTTAGTGATATTTCCTAGGTAATGACGATAATAATTTCGTCCTTTTTTAGGCATAATTGATAAAAATATTTATTGAATTAGAAACGGGTATGCGTTATAAAATTGATTCAATCGGTACTAACATAACATATTTTTGGACTCTGTAATATTTCGAATTGTAGATGGTCTTACAGTATTAAATAAAAGATAGCCGTCTATCAGGTATGTTATTTTCATAGAAAATAAGTAGGTATCTATGTAACATAAATCGCAATGACGGACAACTTGTTTGTTACAAGTTACAATAGTTGTACACACGCACGCATACTATAATAATTCATATTACATACCTACATAGATAATAATATAGAATCTATATTAACCATGATAACATAACATAGCGTATACCTAGTACCAACTTGGCACCTGCCTATTTAGTTGGCCTATTTTTTTTTTTGCACTGTGCAATGCAAATACTAAAATATCCGTTTTTTCGTACTACACAATTAACATTAAACTTTGCATTACTGTGGGGAGCTTTGTCCCCACATCCTCTAAAATAGTAAAATCTATTTAAAGTTTAAACCATGCGCGTAAGCATGAATTATTCAAAGTTTTTTTTATGAATAATGAATAATATATATTGCGTTATTAATTTATACATGTATAGTTAACACAGTTACTACACACATAATATATTACTGACAAAAGTCGAAATCAGCAAACCTCAGAAATCCCCAGACGAAACGCTAACTGTCCACGATACCTGTATAAAATAGTTAGGCCATTTTATACACTTATTAATTTCGTATTAAACACTTAGCATTTCGTACTCTACGTACACGCAGTGTGTCGTACTACAGAAATTTTAGTTTCTGGTGCAACGTTGTTTTATATTTATAATAAAATGGGAAATGTTAATAATGATCAGATAGTGATATTTATGAATTTTGATTGTACTACTTGTCTATATCTAAACGAGACAGGTTTAAGTAAACCCACTGAGATAAATTAAAAATAGGCAATCAAAAAGTTGTGGTGCTGAGATTTACTTAGCAGCGCATTAAAATAAAATTTTTATTATGTTTCGATTTATTAGACATGTTTCATTTTGATGGACTTAATTTTAACTGGTAACATTTTTCTCGTGACCGTCAGAACAACTATCGAAGACGGGGCTTACCGTCTGGTGGTGGTTTTGCTGCTGGTACGGCCTGTGCCGGCGCATCCGCCTCCGCCTGTAGTTGCCCCGCTCGAACATGTCGGCCGCGGCCACCGGGTCCAGCGTCCAGTAGCTGCCCTTGCCGCCGCCTATGTTGTCGTCCATGCCGGTCCGGCCTCTCGGGATCTTGATGAAACAGTCGTTCAGGCTCAGGTTGTGCCTGATCGAGTTCTGCCAGCCCTGTCTGTTGCGCCGGTAGTACGGGAACTTGTCCGTAATGTAGTTGTAAATCTCGCTGAGCGTCATCCGCTGGTTGGGAGTGGACGTGATGGCCATGGCGATGAGCGCTATGTACGAGTACGGCGGCTTCTCGTTGCACCCGACGGCCGCCATGTCAGCGGCCGCAACCGCGGCCGCGGCCGCCGCGTTCTGCTCGGAGGGTTGATCCGCGAACAGGCTGATGGCCGGCACCTGCGAACAAATCGTCGTTATCGTCATTGTTTTAGGTACTCGTTACGTAACGATTGCGTTTTTTAGGCACTGATGTACGCGCGTGTCGACGATTTATGTGTTGTTGGTCGGCAGAAGGCGGTAGCGATTAAAAAAAAAAAATTACGATTTCAGGATCAAATTGTATATTATAATATAATACGCGTGTAATTATAAATATACGCATCAATAGCGATTAATTAGAACAGATCGGATCATCAAACATGCGTTTAAATGTTATATAATATAATTTATCGCGTACAGCATACAATTATAGCGATGGTTTTTTTTTTTTTTTTAACATAAATATGTTTGTTAAGTATACAATAATTAACAAGATAGTATATAGTGTGCATACAGCCACGCGGAATGATATTCGAACTGTTCTAATTCATTTGTAAAACTGCGATGGAATAAATGAATCGGACAGATATGAAATCATATTCAGATATTCTCTATTAATAAAAACCATATAAATATATAATTTTAACCGCGCGAAATGTACGCACGTAGTTTTCCTACTCTCTATTTTGTTGCTATACCGAAATAGTTTATTTAGAACGGTCAAAACGGTCGAAACCCTGAAAAGTCATATCTTTTCCTATCACGTGCGTGGTGCGCCTATTTAAAATGTAGGTATACATATCGCGGTTTTCGATGCGAGATGCGAGATTTTTATAACGCGAGTATCGTTGTTATTAAATATAGTGTCGTGAATTAGAGATTTTCAAGAGTACTCTGTAGTTGTCTCATATCGCGTAAAGGGCACAGACGTCGAGCTCTGCAGCCATTATCATTAGTAAAAGAAAATGTGCTTACGTCTTTTGGTCGTCAACATTTAAGGAATGACGTTGAAAATTAATTGTTGATAATAAACTATAATATGTTTTTGTTATAAATGTGAGATACTAGGCCTGCAGTAAAATTATGCGAATGAACAAGACAGTTTTTAGTTTTGTACTGCAACAATGCCACAGAACTTTTGTGTTCTAAGCATCTTATAAACGTTTAACATAATATATGGGATTTGTAGTACGAAAAAGTTCGAAATCGATTTTTAGATAATTCGGTTTTAATGTAATAAATCTTTAAAAATCTGGGAAGTTACCAGTAGCGTATTTTTTTTATTTCTATAGGGGAAGGGAATACTAAATTTACGAGTATTATACACTTTATAAGAAATTTTTTTTTTAATAAATATGCTTATGCTCTTAACTACATACGTATTGATTCTTTTTATACTTATATCTTTTAAACTCTTAGGAAAAGCAAGTAAAATAATATTACTCAAACAACAGTAAAATAATATTTAATACATTTTGAAATCAAAATTACTTTTTTTTATTTGTGAAAATTTATCGGTTATTCGATCAATATTTATATTTAGTGATCTATGCTCATGAAACCATGCTACTTAGTCTTTTTTGCCCCATTTTAGATTTAAGTTATTTTTTTTTAAATTTACATACATAAAATAAATGAAAAATTCGAGTATATATAAGTTATATGTCATGTCAACTATATTATCTAAACCTTTTTAAAAACAGATGAAAATATTTAATTAGTATGAACAAGAAAAAATTTTAAGAAAATTTAATTTATGATTTTTGTATAATAATAAATAAGTTACTTTTAAATAAACTTTGATAATTTATTCAAAATTTTTATAGCTATTTGTTGTAAAGCTCAGTAAAAATATTTTTAAAATTGCAATAACTGAAAAATCTAAATATAGTTGGTCCTCAGTACCAACTGTAAATACATCACACTATCACTGTATACGGTATATCGTTAATTTATTTACTTGTTAACCTGTGATAATATTACAGTAATATCTTCTATTAATTAAATAATATTAGCACGACTAATGATAGTGCAACCTCACAAATCGTCACAATCACGATTTAAGGTTTATATTGTAAATCGTGGAAACAATCGATAAATGTATAATTTTTATCTAGTTTGATAATTATACTAATAATATATTGATAACCATTTTTTTTTCAATTTTTGTAATTTTGTTGTGTTTGCAAATCAACGACTTGGGCCATAGGAGAGTGGCAATCGTTACCATCGTCCCTATCAAATTCGCCACTGGAAATTGCTTAGCTGTATAGTAGATATCAGTGTGCTATTGAATACTAATTGTAATAAATGTATTAAATTTTAATTCAATGATAAATCATTGTCAGTTAGTCCTAAAAGGATATTTTATTACGTATTTTTTATATTGCTATTAATAATTTATTTTTCTTTTAGTAATATGGTAGATTGAACTGCTTTTTAACGAAAAATCACAGCATGTTCTACATAGGTAGTAGTTATAAAAATATTATTTTATATAATATTAATAGCTGTTATTAACTTAAATCAATACAGATGTACAGTAAAACGATGTAAATAGGTTAATGCGGTATAAAAATAGCATATAAAATAAATCTAATTTTTTTTGGAAATTTTATTGTGTACCTATAGTAAATAACAATATACCTACGTAGTAGTAAAATGTTTCAAGCTTACAAATAATATTTTTTTAAATTCAAAAATAAACATCTAAAATCATTATATTTTGTTTAAATTTTAAAATTTCATCAAAACGTGAAATGGAAATGTCTACAAAAACAAACTATGTTTTTAAAGAAACAATCTATAGGTTATGAATTTATGAGAAACATTTATTAAACATTTAAAATTTTTAACTATTAAACTTGAAAATGAAATGAATTTTTAGCTACAAAATAATTTGCAAATTTTCGTAAATTTGACAATTTTTCATAATTCAAACTTTAATTACATTTAAAAATAAATTATGACGATTAATTTAAAACATAATAAAACGCTGCTATATTAAAAACTTATGTAAAATGTATTACATTTTTAATTTTTTAAGATTTAAATAAACTTTTAATAATTAAAGGAAAAAATTTAAACATTTTAAGATTTCTAATACCTACTTAAAAATAGCTTTAATTTAGCCTATAAATATATTGAAAACTAGCTGAATTATCTGTCGTTGCTGGATATTAATAAAAAATAAGTATAAAAGTATATAAATGAAAGTAATTCTTTTTTATTGTTAAATGTTTCAAAACTCTACAGTTTTTCATTTTTGAATTAGAACAAAAAACAAATTTGATTTTTTCAAGATCTAGGTTTTGTTATTTTTTCCAAAGTAAAAATTCAATTTTCTACCAAAAACCACCTATAAAATTGAATGTATAAGAATTTGTACTGCTTACGAAGGCTATAAAAATAAATAAATATATACATAATTGTAAAGCCAATACATAATACATCGTATACCGCGGAGAGTCTAATATAATTTATTAAATAAAAGTAAAAGGTTCCAAATCGTTGAAAACATATAAATTGTCAGCATATTCTAAAATCTACGTATTGAGTAGGACCAATAACTCATAAATAAAACGTTTGAAATAAATAGTTATAATTATATGTAGAATATGAATTATTTATGAAACGATTTTATCTCCACCAATATAATTATATTGTACAATGTGTTCAATTAACTCCGTACTTTAGATTCTGAGTAGAGTGATGAATGTATTGATTTTATAATGATGAGTGTGTTTTTTCTTTGTGTCTATGTGTACACAAAAAGTAGTGAATAAAATTCTTTGATATTAAAAAATAGGGGTGATTTCTCGTTATATACTAGACTAGTTTATATTTTAGAGAAGTTAAAAAAAAAAAAAATAATTATCATAATAAAGGAAAACGGGTACTTATACGTAAATTAAACTTTTTATAAAATTGATTTTGTTTTTTTTTGGTGTAATTCAATAACTACGGGTACTTAAAATTTTCACCAAATGTTTAAATTTTCATTTAAATTACAGGATAAAATTTGGATAAAATTACTTATTTAAAGATAAATAACTATGTTAATTATTTTGTTATAATTTGAAAATATTATTCATGAGTACTTAAAATTCTTACGTTTATTATCTTATTTGAAATTTTATTATATGCTATGTGACATATTTGATTTTTTTATCTAAGATATTATTATCTATTTATACTATGCATCTATTTTTACTGTGTTAAATTATTTACAGAATTTTTGAGTTTTATATGTTGATAATACAACATGGTATAAATATATATTATTATAATAATTAAATACTTATATAATATAATAAATGCAATATATTTGTAAAAAATTTTATCAACCTACTATAATACTAAAAGTAAATTAAATGATTTTAATAGCTATATCAAAAAAACGTATCACGAAATATACTTGACGTAGGCTGACAGGTCGCTTTCGCTCAAAATCGTTTTTCGTATACAATAATACATTGAATTTAAAATTAATACACCCATAATAATAACGATCCACTTGACACGTCTTAATGTACAGCACAGCGGTACCCGCTTGCCTATCTGTTTTATGCTGCTTTTAGTTTAGTTATTTATACTTTAAATATTGTAAACAAAATATATATTCAATTAAAAAAACAAAATTGTTATTGTAATATTACAACATGATAGATATTATTAACTATTAAGTTTTTTATAGTGTAATATTAAAAGGATTTATTACTAATTACTACCTATAGGATTAGTTATCTTACTAAAAAAAAATATCATTTATAATAATTATCTTAAATATCAATAAATACGTATGATGGGCTCAACACGTTATGATCAAGTGGACGTGGACCCACTCTAATTGTTATATATGCATCAATAAAGTCTTAAAAGTTCTATCATTAATTAATACATCTTAATTATAGGTGAGGATTAATGAACATAAGTTTATAATGTTTACATCAATAAATTCTGTATAAAAATAAAAAGTATTTTATCTCTAACTATAAAATCGGTCTGAATAATTTCGGAAAATACAACGATTTTCTCGTGTGAATATAAATTAAAATCATTATCCTTCTTAAAAAATTTAATTCCACCGCTACTTGACTATATGTATCAATAAAAAAAACAATTTTGTTTTATTTTTGAAAATTGTTAATTAATAAAGTCTAAAAAATCATTAGTATGAAAACTTTTCCATAAATATACTACTATAATTATTATGTATTTATATTTATTCTAATACGTGCATTATTATCAAAATCACAGAAATCGATAGGAAAAACGTTTCATTTTTAAAAATTGTTTTACTTAAAAGAAGTTAGAATCTGTATTTTAAACACATTTATATAGTAAATAGGATAACTACATACGCAATACATGAGATACTAGAAGAACACATTACGAGGGAAGTGATCCGTATTGATAGTATCCTTCAGGACAGAATTCGTTTGTTTATCAGTCGCATACCAGTACTATGCAGTAGGTACTAATTGAGTAGGTATCAGCTACTTTTGAGACGGCCGTTAATCGAGACGACGGAGAGAGATTTTCGATGATTCGGTCGGTGTTGGAGTTTTTATAACGAAACCTATTGCGATGGCGAAATACGATAGACTGGTGGAAAAGCTGGCAGGACGGTGCGGGTACGAGATGGATGGTTTGGTGCCACACCGTTTTTAAACTTTAAAATAATATCACGTAAAACTGAAGTTAGTACCGTGCGTGGGTCGGCTAACAATAACACGTTATAATATTGTTATAGACTATTACCGCCGGCATCTGTGGCTTGTCCGCAAAGTTTACGGAACTCTGCAACCTCAGCGATTCCTGCAGGAAAGGCAGGATACGAGAGTGCAACATGTGCTGGTAGTGCTGCTGGTACAGTATGGGCAGCTGGTGGAACAGGGCGATTGCTGACAGGTTCTGCGGCACGGGCGGCAACGACGCTATCGCCTCGGCCAACATGTTCCGCTGCTGGTGATGACTCGGCATGGTCGGCTCTTCGTTCTTCATACTGTCCACTGCGGCTGCGGTACGGCTTAGCTGTTCCGGCGAATGGGGCTGGCCCCCGCGGTTCATCTGCAACAATCATAAACGGCGATGTCAGTATTATCGTGCGTCGTTCGGGTTTATCGGCGTTATTGCGCAGTCGTCGGACGTGAACGACCGACTGCTGTTTTGATCAACAAAAATTACAATATATATCACCGTGTACGACGACTACTGCAGCGCAAAAAATGACGGTTCAAAACCGTAACGTTACGCATAATTACATCATTGAAATGGATTCTTTATAAAATAAAAATCTTTTTAAAATCGCGTAGAAAAAGTGCCTAAAATCAGTGGAGTAGTCAACATTTTAAAATGGGGAAGGGCCAAAGTCAAAATATAAGATAAGCAAAAATACTTTGAACTACTCTCAAAAAAAAAAAAACAAAACATAACTCAAAAATTAAAAAAAAAAACAAATATAAAATTATATCAACTTATCTATGTTATGTATTTTTCAAACGTATAAAATAAACTACATAAATATGTAAATACGTTGATACAGCCAATGGTGGGGAGAGCATGGCTCACTGCCCCCCCTTGGCTACGCCACTGCCTACAATATTATTTTCTCTTCAAATTATTGAGTAATGTGAAATTGAAGAATTTTTTCTATTAAGTCTGATAGTTTTTATAAATTCACTGACCACAATAGTCGCAATAATTATTATCTATTTTATATTCATAATTTCCCATCAAAATCACGTGTAATAATTCCTCATCAATATTTCAATGTCACGCGGCAATGATCTTGATGTTAATAATCTATTTAATTGTGAGCTATTATCCATCTTTTATTTGTATTTAAATTTGAAATTGTATTGTTAATATTATATAGCATAATATTAACGGTAATATATATATATATATATTATTCATCCATAATATGGTTATTTTCCATTGACTATATTTTTACTTATAGGTATACAACGTACAATGTACATACATTGTTTTTCTTCTATTATTTTATTTGTTCGCGTATATTACTGTACCGTCATGTACTTAACTTGTTAAAGTTTTCTTATTAATCGATTATTATTTTATATTCACTATTGTTATTATTAGTATTTATTACTTCATGTATTGGAAATTGAATAACTGTCCTTAAAATGAGTAAATAAAATATAAATCTGAACGAGTACCTATATAATATACATATTAATCGACATCCAATATAATAATAATGTGTTCTGCATGGATTCTCCCATTGGTCAATATTCAATGGTAAGGATATTTTATTGGACAGTTTTAAGCAGAGAATAATGATAACGAAACAAAAATATACATTGAAAAACATACCTATCACCTAATTGCAAAGATTATCAATTACGGTTTATGAATATATCTAAACTTGTATTTTCGTATCATAGATCCAATTTTTACTAGGAAAAATATTGTAGATTGAAACACTGTTTCTGATATGTAAAATGTTAGTATCTTTTAGACGTAAAAAGAAAAATACATTGTAAAATCATTACATCTATTATTGTTCCAATCAGATTCTAAAATGCGATAAAATATTAACAAAGTTATATGATCTTACATTTTATTTTGAAAAATAACAAGTATAATAATGATTAAGAACTAATATTTTACCACACAATAACATTAATTCAATATTTATCGAAATAATTTCCACATATATATATATATATATATATATTTATATAAATATATTTGAGTGTTTTTTAATATTATAATGATTAAGATTACTCTCGAGGTAAATGATTTTAAAAGCGGAAAGTTTACCACATACTTGAGCTATAATAGTTTATATGGTTAGTATGATACAACTTACATTGAAATAAATAAATATGTTAAAACTCGGTTACTTGTTTTTTCTTCAACTATTTAATGCATATAGGTACCTACGCGTGTAATAGCTAAGTGCTAGGTGGCGAAATAAATGGTATGATTTCATTAAAATTTTATAAACATTACACAACAAAAAGGTTTGGGTTGTCATCAATCAGTTGTCAAGTTTACCCCGCCTTGTTACAGATAAGATATGGTTACGTTAAGTTGTTTTCTTTTAAACTGTTAATATTTATTGTTTATGCTGCATACCTAATCCAATACTAATATTTAGTGGAAACAAACAATGTATTGAGCATTTTTAGGTTGTTGAAATACGTATCGCTGTAAAACGGATTAAACACATTTGCTGTTGGTTGACGCGGTCTCGTCTTATTTAAACTATAAGAAAACATGCACGTTTATGCGAGAGAGACGATAAAAATTAAAAAGAGTGTAAGAGAAAAAAAGACTACCTATATTGACTTTAGAAACAAAATCATATATATTCTTTTTAATTAAAAATCTTTTAATTTTATGATATCTGTGTCTATCCGTTAAAAAAAATATAACATCGAAACTTACCGATATCAAACTGCAATCTCCAAGATGCCGTCCGATTGGTCAAGCACTTGTAGGACCCGGCTATTCTGAAAATAAATTAAAATAGGTATCTATTGTAGTATTTGATGTAATACAGTAACATTGTTTTTGTGTATTGTTTTGTAGTTTTTTATATTTCGTTTGTTATATATTTTTCAATAACAAACTGTAAAGGAAAATATACAAAATGAAATTAATGCTATATGCCTTTTATTAAAACCATATATGACTTTTCATCAATATTAATTATTATTATAGTAACAATAATTCATAATAACACCAGTGCAATATCCAATTTATAGTCGTTATATAGACGTGGTGTTTTATTTTATTTTATTATTATTACTATTATTATTATTATTATTTTTTTTTTTAGTACTACATACGACAAACGTAATAAATTGTTATTTAATCTATTCACGATAACGATTTACACAGTAGCCGTGTGTGCTGTGTCCTCCTCTCTCCCCCTCAGAGGAAATAATTGTTATTGTTTAATATTTTTCATTACGCGATAAAAGACAGACGCTGTTGACAAATGTGCCGTTGATGCATTTGTGAATAAAAAAATAATAATAATAAAAAATAACACACGCTCGACCACATGAAATAATAATAAATAATATAATTATTTATGTTTTTTCATAAACAATTTATTCGAAAACATTCGATCGCGTACCAAAATCGCCGAACCTATTTGTAAAACAATAATCAAAAGTAACGATCACTATATATATATTGGCAGTGCGTTGTGTTTTTATTAATAATTTTGTGGTTAAAAATTCGAACGCTATTGGCATAAAAATAATACATATTAGGAAAAAAAAACAATGAATAATATGTTTTTAGATAGGATATAATAATACAATATGTATACTCGAATCGTTGATTCCAGGTCTCTCCACCGGTATATCCCACAGGTGTGTGATGTGTGTATATAATAATATAATATATATATATATGCTATATGTATAGGTGCACACCGATAGTTATTCGATATGACGATATGTAAATAACAATTGTCAACATAATATTCTGATGAATACAATCGATAAGAGAATATAAGCACATTTTAGGGCTTTAGGCAGTAGGTATATTATTTATTAATTATTATTATTAGTTTTATAAGTGGTAACTGGTGATAAATTTTTATTAATATTATTATTATTATATCCAAGTTTTCAAAAATAATTATTGTTTTTCGAATAATATTACAACAGTGTTTTGTGTGTATGAGTGATAACTACAATAAAATAATTTTGATACATTTTCAAACTATTGTTATCAATATAATATTATATATTATAAAATATTAGACCTTCCGGGTTGAGTTCTTTTGAAAATATTAAGTATTAAGTATTACCTCGATGAAGCATAAGCACGAACTTTAACCAAAAGTCTGGATCACTCCAATGCAAACCGTGTAGGTGGTAATTAGATTTTTTTTTACGATCATGATGTAAATTTAAAATTGTATTAATCATTACATTTTTAACACGTAAAAAAAGTCGGACAGTGAAACTTGAAACACTTGTATAATGACGAATTATAAATAAATATTGTAGATTGTATATTAATATTATACCTATAAAATATACAAATGTGAATACATATTGACAAACACTTACACATATAACACGTCTATGTACTATGGCTATATATAATATTGTATATACACTAATACACTATACAGAGCGATTATGTTAACATGAATTAATCTGTATTTTATTGAAATAGTTAATAAATATACATAATATGCATAAATGTCCTAAATACTTGAGATTATATTTTTTCTTTATGGAATAATAAATATTATAATTTATATGTCATATTAAAAATAACAATTTAAACGAATTATTTTAAAGTTTTTAAATTATTGATTTCATGTTTTTTTAATTTTTTATTACTATTATTAATTTTAAGCTCATCGACAGAGGTCATTAACTTTTCTAATGCTATTTAACATTATACTCGTATATACAAATACAAGAAAGAATCTAATTTTTATATATTTATTCAAATGCTTATATAGTTATATAGATTTATTGACTGATTTGTATTGAAATTATTATTTACATATAACCACAAAGCACATACTCTGTATTTAATATATTATTATTAAATTAATTATTAAACATAACAACGAAACACATTTAAAATGAATGGTTGTCTACAGAGCACTGTCTAAAAAAATTTCAGTTGATATTTTTTGTTGCGCTTAATGTAAATAAATTTGTAATAGTATTAAATAGTATAATGTAACATAATATCAACAATATAAACTTAGTACAAACGTATAATAGACGTTAAATATAATAGTGCTATAATAATAGTTAGTACAATTTGTGATAGTTTATATCGATTGCTTATTATAGCATATTAGTACTATACATGTTGTACATACTACTATTATTGCATTTTTAACTATAGTGATTTTGTTCGTATAATACTAATATAAATTGTTAATTTGTCTATTTATATTTTAAGACATTTAAATTAGTCAATACAGTTTTAAATCAAACATGTTATTATTTTTAAATATCATCTGCTCAAAAGATATTTATTTTTATTAATAAAAGTTAGATTTTTGTTTTTATTATAACTAAAAAAAGACGTTGTTAGAAAAAAGTGTTATGGTTGTAATTATGAGTTTGATATACAAATACCACATAAACGTCTAGTTCACAAGTAAAATATTTTTTATACAAGTTATTTTTACCCCGGATAAAATAAACAAAAAATAATATAAACAATAATATTTAAGTTATAAAGTTCATATAATGTCAAGAGCACATGTTTCTTTAAAACATTTTTTTAACTTCTATAATAAATACTTTTGAAAATTTAAATGGCCAATGGGAACCTAACACAAAAATTAAATATGATAAATTATAAACAATGATTTTTATTTAGATATAGTAAGTGTTTTATAAGAAAAACTGTAATAAATCTTTAACAAAAATAGGTATATATATCCAGCACCATATATAAACACATATAAGACGTTAATATGCTTTAAAACAAAATATTTTATATGCAATTTTAACATATTCTTAAGTTGAATAATTAATTACTTTGGAAAATAAAGACTTAAATATAAAAAAATGATAATGTGAAATAGTATTAAGAGTAAATATAGATAAACTCTATATTTATACATAATATGTGTTAAATATTTAATTATATAAAAAATAATACCTATATATATATATATATATATATATAGGTATGTTGGGTGAAATTGTAGATGTTAAATGATTATAAGCAATAGTTTAGACCACAGATATACAAATACATACTTATACTATTTTATAATTATCCAATAAAATATTGTACTTAAAAAAATCATAACTCAGAGCTTAATTGAGCATTTATTGGCTTAGTTTTTTTTTACCTGTTTATTTGATCAGAGAATTCTGTAATAATTAATAACTAATAATACACACAACTGTTTTACGTCATAAAAATAAGCTTAAATTATATTATGTATTTAAAAATAGAAAATAAACTGAATATACTCACATAAAAATAATTATACATTAACTAATATATTATGTGTATACACGATACTACACAACACAGTATAAATTATTTTATTCTTGTTCTTATATTTGGAAAATTAAAAAACCTTCAAAATATATAAGAAGATTATAAATTATATAATAATAGTAAAGAATAAGGATTGCAAAAAAATTAATGGTAATATTAAAATTAAATTACATAATTAAAAATTTTTTTACGATTAATCGAATAGGTATAATGTTTGCAGCTATAAGGTTACTGGTTTTAACTTATTCTACAACGTCTAAATACATTTAAATACATCATTTTTTTTTTAATTTATAGTACATGTACATTGGAGAAAATTATTAACTGTAATTTTAAAACTGTTTAACCTAGATGAGATACAATTTTGTTTTTGATACATACCTATACCTATTACCTACTTTAAACGAATTATTTAGTAGTATTTAGATCTAAACCAAAATAAAAATTTAATAAAATAAAACATAAATTATTTCATATTTTCTATTTGATGAAAAAATATATAGATATAATACCTTCATGTTTAACCATTTTAAGAATTATAAATTTATATTATTTTAAACGCAAAAATTATTATGAAACTTTAAAAGGTTTTTAAATGTGAGGAAATAATTTACGTTGAAAATGTTTGTAAAAAAGAAAAATGTTAACACCTTTAAAACTTGTGTTTTATTTCTTAGTTTAAGTTTATAATTTGTGTTAATATTTTGTGTTTGTTAAACAAACAAATAAATATAATAATATATAATTTTAGCTGATAAAGCCCATTACCGAATTTAAATCAGTACTCAGTAAGCGGGTTTAGAGGTCGTGGAAACAACTTATATATTATTCGCTAGAAGATTACGTATATAGTTACTTCTTATCTATAATAATATGTCATAATGTAGATTTTAAGAAATGTATTGAAAATTAATTAAAAAATTAAGATAACAATTAAAGTTAATATTAAAACGATTAAATTGTATATCATAATCTATGTTTCGTACAATTAGATATTATATTTTACACGTTTTTTCAGACTAAATATAAAATATCAAATCAAATAATAAAAACTAAAATAAGGAGACGCATATTTGTACTGCACACTCACGCTATATAAATATGTAAACGTGTTGAGTGTATATAGTGGTGTACATTTTACCATACAAATATATCACATATACATCATGTATATACATATATATATATATAAATATATATAATGAATATCCTAATTAAAATTTTAATTCTAATAATATAGGTATACGATAAATATTTTATTTGTTAATTTTTTTTTTTTTTTTTTTTTTAATGTACATTTAATAAAATAATTTTTAATTATATAACAAACACATATTATTACAGATTTTTTTATTAAAAATGTATAATTTACACATTTCATTTATAGCATACTATACTATTTATTACTACCTTGTATAATTGGACAATAAATTATAAAATATTCCTATATAGTACACAATAATCGAATTATACTAATCCTTATAACTTATAAGGATTGTCAAATTGTATTTAATGAAAATTATAAAAATTACAGTTGCAGTTAACGATTAATTTTACGTAATATAAAAATTATAACTATACAAGTATTTTTACTGTAGTTTATTGCAAACATTTATCTATTTTTTAGTTGTTAAATATCATTTGAAATTTATACTCATACATACTTACATAATTTTACTTATAATAATTAACATAAAAATAACATAACTAATAGGAAGGCTTAACACCTTTAGTTTTTAAAATTATGAAACGGTCATACAATATTTTTAGGTGTTCTAAAACGTATAGGTACATAGTTTTGGAATTTTTAACTTTAAATCATTATTTGTATCAAAAGATATTAGGTAATTATGACAATTACATTAAGTGTCTAAGTTAAATGAATTCCAATATATATATATATATATATTTCATGTTATCCAAATTTAATAGAATGTAGGTATAATAATTTAAAATTATATTGTAACTATGTATGTATAAGTTATAATACTTTCAATTTCTTTATCAATATTCAATATTATTATTTGTTCATTATCTTATCACCAAGAGCAAATTCGTTTACATGACATTGAAGACACTCGAAAAAACGTGCGCACATTTTACGCATAGTCTAGATTATAAAATTGCTTGATACAATTTAAGGATTATGTGAAATTCAAAATTTTAATTAATCAGATACGAAAGACAATGTATGCAAGTAGGTACCTAATTATACATTATAAATGTATTATAGAGTTAAATCTCAATTATTTCCTAGGCCTTAAATTCAAAACGTCATACAGTAATAATAACATCTTATTATACATTCTTATCTTTATCGATTACTCATAAAATGCAATTTTAATTTAGATAATTTATTAATGTGTATAGTATATAGGTGTCAATCATCACTTTAATAAAAATTAAATATTAAGTATTATTAAATATTAATAGTACCTCTGTCCTCTGATATGTTTCATACTTTTATATTTTATTGTATAAATTAATTTAAAATACTGCGTACACTTATTCTGAAATATCTTTAAGTTATTCGATTATAATTTTACTTAGTCAAATCATCTAAATAAGAAGTAAAAACAATTCTGCACTCTCTAATAGCTTATAAATATTGGTCACTAAAAAATGTATTTATCAGGTAGAATATTGATTTTTATTTGTTATTAAAAATAATGCACTTATAATAAAAAATTTGGCGTTCATTATACATAAAATGGTATAAATGAGATCTATACTTTTATCTTAGCCAAAAGTTAAATATTAAATAAAAAATACATGGGTATAACATTATATTGAGCAAGTTTAAACACATAGATCTTATTGGACCATTTAAAAATGGATAACAATTAAAAGTGACTTGCTGAATAATGTTAAAGTACCCATGTTCTATACCATACTATATTATTTTAAATCTTTACCTCTAAAACTATACCTTCTTAGAATACCGAGGTTTACAAAACACACGACCTGCCCGAAATGTCCATACGCTCGTTGGTTAATCTAAATCCTGAACAACTGAATTAAATTAAATTCATTAAATATCACACGGTTCAATTATTTAATTTTCAGTTTTTAATTATTTGAGACAATTTTTAAGTCGTGTTCATTAATTATTTACAATATTATAATATGTAAAATATTGAAATTAACTGAAAGTAACACTAAATTCATATATTATAGTAAAAATTTCTATATATATTTCTATAAATATTATTATATACCTAGATGTATGTAACTATGTAAGTACGTATAATAATACCGAGATTAATACACAAATATGTTTACTTTAAAAACAAAAACAATTAATTAAGTACATGCAGAGTACTAAGATATAATTGATAATAACTGTTTGATTAATAAATTATACATATACATATTATAATTCAAATCAAATTTATAAGTGTAAAATTACAAAAGTAAGTCATCAATAAAACGTTGATAAATAATTTTTAAACATTTTTTTAAACTTATTATCTCATTAAGTAGGCAGTATATATTATTATATTAAAATAAAATAATGTGGTAATTTGTATATATACATGGGTACTATTAAATATGCAATACACCTATAAAATGCATATTTATCAGAAAAACTTGAGTGAGCAATATTTCGTCATCGTCTTTATTAATTTGCAGACATTTATTAACACAATGTCAAGGTTATAAACTTACACCTTAATTATATAGATTAATCATCGAATGTTCTAAATAAAAATAAAAAAAATGATTTAGAGACAATTTGTTGATTTGATCGAATAAAACGTATAAATCAAATTACATTAAAAAAAAAAAAAAAAACTATCACAAACGGTTATAACAAAAATACAAAAATGTTCCTAAGATATAAGAGTATAGTAATTTATTATCATATTATAGATATAAACCTACGTACAAAAAAATAGAAACTGCTTAATTTCGTTTTTTTAATAATAATAATCAATTATTCCCTCGCCTGGGTTAGGACAAATATTTTTCAATGTTTATACACATTTACACGAGAAGGTAAGCCGCGGTTATTAACTAAAATAACGGGCGTCACGAATTTATTAAAATTCGTTAGTGGAATTTCCTCGAATAATAATAATAGCGTTCACCGAAGTCGTGGAAGACGAGGAACAAGTGCACAGCATCACCACTGAGTATTATTACATTTATGTAGCTGGGTAAAAAATATTATTATACGCGGAAAACATATACGGGCGCGTTATTTTAAGATGTGTCGTCAAAGAGCACGTTTTCGCGGGAATAAAATAAAACGAAAATCGTATCTGTACAATAATAATTTACTGTCGAAGAACTAATTGTCGAAGTGAACAAAAATGAAAAAAGCTACTGATGTCGATACCACGCGTAAATTAGAATTATACCTCACGTGTATAATATTCCGCATGACTGCGGTGGTCGTAAAGACGATTAATTTAAAGTAAAACCTGGAATTCACTGTAGCTATATATATATATACATATATATACGTCAACTGTCGTGTCGTGTGCGGCATTTATCGTATTGTGATTGGCCTTTGTAATTTTAGTATCATTCGCTAACCACGACGTGTCGGAAAATTTTCAAAATTGAGCCGAATTCGGCTTTTTGGACATTGCACGACAGCAGACGACGCATTTAACTACACATATTACGTGAACCACGCATGCTCAACACGCGCATCACACACCGTATAAGACTACGTAATATTCTGGTATAAACCTGTTGTTGTCGTTATTATTATAATTATTATATTATTATTATTTGAATTCGCACTTACCGGGAGGTTCGAAATTTTGCGCGGGCACACAACCCGGGTGGCGGTGGCGACGGCGGCCGACAACCGGCGTATGTCGTTGCGTATCGTATCAATACGGTCTCGCGAAAAACCCGCCGGAACAACCGTCGCCGGTTCGATTGACACGAGGGCTCGCAGACACACCGGTGTAATGCGACGGCAAGGCGATACGCTACGACTGCCGCCGTGGTACGCGCGAGTGTATTGCACGGTAGCGGTCGCGTGTGTTGGTACGGTAGCGCCGGTACACTGGTGCGATTGTGATTGCGGCGCGCGAACCGGTGCAAGCGTGCGAGTCACATGCGCGAGCGTACGCGTCGCAACAATAATAATAATTGTTGTTCGATTCGCCGGACAGCCGTCGTATGTGTGTGAATATTTTTATAGACGGATATAAACGATTAATATAATAGAAAAAAAAAAAAAAAAAACGAGAGCGATACGCGTAAAAAAATGTTTATCGTATAAAACGATATGTATTTTTATTAATATGTTGAACTCGTATAATGATACAATAAAATAATTTATTATAAACGTATGGCGACGAGGCTATTATGTATCGTGTGTTATAATATTATATTATTAATATGACACGATGACGTAATATTGCGACTGGAGCACGCGAGTCGAAAAAAACCGTGTAAACAGAAAATTACAACAGTTTTGTAAAATTATATTATTTTCTACGGGCAGGGTACCCTCGGCTGGGTCTGCGCGTGTATAATACAATAACAGTCTATTGTAATGTGTTGTACTTAATGTTATGTACAACGATATTAGAACTGTCGATGAAAAAAAAAAAAAAAAATAAAAAATACGTGCTCGCGTGCTCAATTCGGATCGAGGTCCGCGGGTACCGAGCGACGGTAAGAGAGTGTGAAAGACGCGAGAAGATTTATAATATTATTATCACTGTGAGCGCACCACCAATACACACGACCGACCGGCTCTGTCTTCTTACCGACATTAACAACACACTACTCTACACACGCACACGCACACAGACACACATACACACATACACACACACACACACGCACAACACTGGTGGCGGCGAGGCACCACTACCGGAGGAACATTAGTCCAAAGTAAACACTTTGAAAATGGAATTGTTGATGACACAGTTGACGGGCGGCGGGGGGGAGCGGTCGAAACGCGGGCGGCGGAAGAGCCGGCGGAAAGGCGACTGCGGGTGGGTGGGGTCATGTGCCGGGGCCCCAGCGTACAATTGGTCTGCACCGCGGCGAGGTGGCGGCGGTGGAAGGTTTGTTTATTTAAATATGAGTTGTGTTTGGGGTACCCTCTCGCTCGGCCGCCGCCGTCGCCGCCTGCTCCTCCATACCCCCTCACGCCAACCAACCCCCTCCGGACCGCGGCCACCCAACCGGCGCGCCGCCGAGCGAGCCCCCCCCAACGCCCGACGATCGACACCGCTCACCACCGCGAAATTCCTCGGTTCTGTACACGAAAAATAAACAAACAAACATTACATGTACACATAGTGTACACACGCGGCGCGCACACCCGCACACACATACACACACACACACACACACACACACACACACACACACACACACACACACACACACACACACACACACACACGATCTTGCAAACACCAACTTTATGCTGTAATAAACACACAAACACACACGTATATATGTAGCGTGTGTATGCACATCGTATATATATATAAAATATAAATGTGTGTGTGTAATGTATATATATATATAGGGTGCGCCGAAATGACGAGCTTTTTTTATTTTTGCCCCTCGCTCCCCCTCCCCTACACCGTCGCCACTGAGACCTTATTTTATGTAATTTCTTCCGATACATATTATGTCTAACAACGTATACGGCATAATATTGTGTTTGTGTACGTATATATACTTAAGTGTATTAATGTGTGCAGTAATAGTTGTATTCGTTTTGTATTGCATGGTATATTATGTTTGCTATTATTATCATTATTGTGGGTTTATTTTTAATCCATACATTCATCTTCATTACTTCGTTGAGCCGAACCGCCAAACTCAACAATAATGCTTTTACTATAATAATCGAAAAAAATTTGTCTAGCAATATATTTTGGCACGAATATATTATGCAGATTGGGTACCATAATATTATACACTGTACTGTCTGTACTATTTGTTACGAATCGGTAAATTGTGTTAAAATGTCTAAAAACATGAATATTGACTAGACACCATGACAATTAAATGATAAAATAATACATTTTTTCCATACAAACTAAATTAATTATCATTAAAAAAAATGCATTTTAGCACGGGAAACAACTAGAGCACTTCTTAAGAGTTATGTATTATATTACTAGTTTATTTACTTGCTATTATGGTCTTACATTTTATTTTACAAATACATTTTTTGAATCCCTGTGGTTTAGTAATACTATCTAAACTCACTGTTACCTGAAAGTTATTTCATTTTACACCTAACTAATTTTATAATACGTCTAATCTAGTTTATAGGTGCGTGCGCTGCACAGAGCAACTCAGATGACTATTACATTAAAGATTATAACAATTTACAAATTGCATTGAAATATTCATAAAATTCACTAAATCACGTGTCCTGAGGAGAAGTGAACGACCGTCATCATATGACGGTATAATATAAGCAATGAAAAAAAAGTTCTTTAAAGTGGTTGTTTTTTTTTATTTTTTTAGCTATGCCAGGCTTGACTCAAGGAATAGGTGACATAGGCACATATCTGAGTAGCATTTAAAATTTTAATATCATGAATAATTTTTATGAAGATAGAATTTGTTAATATTGTATCTGTATGGTGTATTAAAAAATAATTAATATTAATATTGTTTTGTTATATTTTTTAATAAACGACACTTTTAACTTGTACATAATGTAAATTTCCTTGAAATTAAATACCAATAAATATCTAATAAAATTGTAAAATTTTCGGAAATAGAGATATGGTTGAAACGATACGTCAGTTCATCTGCATTTTTTTGTGTTATGATCTTTTTTAAATTTAAAAAGGGCAAAAATAGCATCGGCTTATGATATAAAAAGACAATTATTAGTAATTATTATTTATTATTTTTATTTTTCCATTAACTTTCAGACTGAATAATTTCTAAATTAAATTCTCCTGCTACCTACAAATATATAATAATTATAATATATTGTTTTAAATTATATAATAACAAATTCAATTTGTTTCTAATATTTTCTATGCACCGTAATACGAGACGCTATTGCTATTTACATTATTCCGTGCAACATGTACCTGAATATTACAAAAACTAAAAATAATTTTAAATTAATAATTCTAAAATAATTTTTAAAATATTATCGTATTAAATGGTATAATGTACGTAGAAACTGATGAATTACATTATTGTCAATACAATTTTTAAATTTTCGTACCTACCATATTAGTTTTGAGAAAATTTAAAGACACTCTCTTGACAGATATTAAGTATGTGATTAACTTTATTTATTGACAGTTGAATTAGTTTTTTAAATACATAATATGTAAAATTTTTTTGTTCTCGTTATTAGTCCTATTATCATGATAACACAAAAAATATTGTCTATTATCCACAGTAATAATACTAAATTTTAGTTGTATACACATAGAATTCAATTTGATAATTTGGTCAATTCATTTTTACTAACACACAAACGTAACTAACTAAAATTAAAAGAAATATACTAGTTTATAACTACTATACTAATCCAATTAACTGTTATGTATAAATAAATAATTTTTATATATAAATAAATATAATATACCTACATAGAAACATGTTGATTTTTGTTTTTTTGATATAAACATATAATTAATGGAATAAATAGTGTGTATATAAACATTGTGAGGGGCGGCAAGTCTTTGCAGGCAAGGTTTGCCTTGGCGTATTTAAATGTTTTAGTCAGACTTGGTTATGGGTAATTTAACAAAACTGATCAATTAAACTTCAACGAATCTACACTAAAAAATAAACTTATCATGCTATTAATACATTATAATTTATAACTAACCTTTTCCAAAATGCTAATTTTTGACAATTTATAATTATTTTAAAGTTTTAAAATTTAATAAAAATAATTTGAAACATTTTAGTCTTATTGTGTATGTTAATTAATAGTACAATAAAATAGCTTGATAGTTAAAAAAAATATTACGTTAAAATGTTGAAAAGTTTTGAAGATACACCAGCAAACGGTAAATAGGTTCGGTTATGTTTTAAAAAAGATAAATTACAAATAACTAAAAAAAAGAGTTACACCCCGTCTTTAAAGGAGTTTTTTTATAATTTATTATTTAAGGTATATATATTTTATCATATGACATCGCGGTCGGTCACTTCCTCCTAAGACATATTGTATAATATTTTTTACAGTAGTTTAAATAATTTACTAATAAATTTTAAGTTCTATAGGAAGTATTTATAAATATAACAATTCTTAATAAACTATAGAAATTATCATGTAATAAATTATATATTTTAGTACCTTTTAGTTCAACTTAAGACAATTTAAAAGAAATATAGTTATTTCATGAATTAACATAAGTACCGGTAATATATATATTGATTATATTTAATTTTGAGACAATATATACACTATAATATACATTAGTTTATTACAATTTTAAAGTTCATAAGAAACCTTTATTAATCCTTAATTGTACGATCAACAAATATGATTGAGGACTATGGCCTTAAGAAATATACACAAATCTAAAAAGTAAAAAAATCTCAGATTAAGTTTTTGTGTCTCCGTAGTTATTCAACTGCAGAACAAAATAATTATTAAAAAATCTAGAAACTCGTTCTGCTATAAATTAGATTTTAAGTATACCTCGTAATTTTTAAGTATAATATAAAATATTTAATTTAAATTTAACAATAAATCATTATTAGATAGTAAGTATAGCCGCATAGGTATACAAAACATGATTCAGAGCAATAAGTAGATACGATTCATCAGCTTTTATTTTTAAGGATATTTATTTGTATATATTATTGGTACATAAAATTGAACTTAAACTAATTTATAATTGTAACATTATATAATTTATATTTTATTCACTATAATATTATTATTATTATTATTATTATTATTATTATCTATAAATAGCTAATGAAGCTACTAAAACTAATAAGCTTAAAATTACTTTAAAAAACTTTCAAGTTTCTAAATTTTAAATTAATACATGTATTTTTAAATTACGGCATACAAAACTAGGGGAATAAATATTGCTATTTTTCGTTTAAATATTTAAATTTCATCAAATTTGAACTTAAAAGTGTTTATGTAAGGAAAAATTGCATTTATGAGTAGATATTTAGGTAATTTTAAATTTCTGTTAGAAAAATTTAAAAAGAATCATGTGTTATATTTTCAAGTTTTGGTCATTAAAAAAAAAAAAAAAAAATTGCATT